TGGAGAAGGAAGAGATGAAGGAGGAGAAGGATACAAACAATAAGACTGACTGCGTGTCGAAGAGCCCCCCCCACCCTGCATCCCCATCTGCAGCCAGATGTGACTCTCCTCCAGCCAGTAGAGTAAAAATGGGTTTATTGCTTCTCCAAGATACAGCTCAGCGTAGGTTTGATGTAGGCATAGGATAGGCCAACAGCCCTAGTTCCCTTGGGGGGAAGGGTTCACAGGCCCCTGAATCCCCTATACTGGTTTTTAGTCTCCTTCTTCCATGCTTCCCCATACTCTGATTGCCCATCTCCCAGGCCCTGCCCCCCAGCGAGGTGGCTGTCTCCGCCTCCGCCTCCCTTCCTTTATGTCTCCCTCTGGGAAGAGCCTTGTTAGCTGCTCAGGCTGGGACTAGGTGTCTGAACCAATACACATGTGGGTGAGTCAGTGGGAATCACACCTCACAGCACATCCAGGTGGGGACACCGAGTTACAGAGCAGACAGCCCCCCACTATGTCACAAAGACAAATTCCTTTTTTTCCCCTTCCTAAGGATTGTCTGAGTCCTACTGTAACCCAGTGGTTATTGTGTGTTGCATGTGTTCCTCTGTGCCTGATCCACAGAGAACAAGTCTGTTGCAGCCTCAGTTGAGAGCTGCTATTTTTGGCTACCATACGGGGACCGAACTGGGGATTGCCAGAGCTAAAAATATGAGCTACTAAAGCTGGAGCTAGAGATCCACCACTGTTTTCTAGCTGGGGCGGTAGCACGTTGTGTGTTACAGGCCTCTCTGTGCCCACACGGCAGTAGGTTCCAATAGAGGCTGTGTTGTTTGCTCCTGCTCTGTCCTTTTTCCTTTGGGATAGATACTCCGGGGTGTAGAGAGTAGACAGAGGAAAGTGACAATCTTGTTTGCAAAAGAGCCCAGCAGCTTCCTTCCAGGTTGTTCTCATGCTGGGATTAGAAGAGGAGGAACACAGGCCATTGTTAAACTGGGGTGCCGAGGTCAAGAGAAGCTTTGAGTACTCAGCATCTCTGCAAATGAGGCCACTTAGGAATGAACCCAGAGCCCGTTGACGTAAGGGGAAAAACTCCTGTGGGCTTTGGTTTAGGCCTTTCAGAGTACGTCTACACTGCATGCTTATTTCAAAATAAGCTATTCTGGAAGAAATACTCTGAAATAGCTTATTTTGAAATAGCACGTCTACAGTACAGGGAAGCCTCAAAATTAGTCCAAAGCAGGCTTCCCTAATGTGGACGTGCTGCCTTGATTTAGAGCCCCAGGAGACACTGGGGAGTAATTGCTTTGAATGGCCCTGGGGAGGAGCTGATTTGAAATAATGGAATTGCTGTGTAGACACTCGCATTATTATTGCGAAATAATGGCTGTTATACTGAAATAACACTGCTGTGTAGATGCACCCTTAGATAGGTAACCTAACTTCAGGCATGTGTTCACCACTCTTATACAGCTTGAACCAAAGTCTATAGAATCAGAGATGTCAATGGGCTTTGCATCAAGTTCTTAATCCTTATGCATGTAGTTCCTAGAGTTCATCTACACTGCAACGCTATTTCGGGATACCAGAGTATCCCAAAATAGCTATCCCGTGTCTTATTTTGGGCTTGCTACTCCGATATCCCTGTAAACCAGGGGTCCCCAACACGATGCCCGGGGGTGCCATGATGCCCGCCGGAGTATTTATGTGTGCCCGCCTAGTGACCAGGGCCGGCCCGAGCCATTCTTGCACCCCGGGGCCCGGGTGCCCGGGTGCCTGGTGCAAGCGCCCAACAGCCCCAAAAGGTTGGGGACCACTGCTGTAAACCTCATTCTACGAGGAGTAAGGGACGTTTTGGAATAGCGCTTTATTTAAAAATTTGGTGCTGTGTAGGCAGTGCCAAATGACAAAATAAGCTATTTCGAAATAGCATTGCAATAAGATACGCAATGTGCATAGCTCAAATTATGTCTCTTATTTCGAGTAACAGTGCAGTGTAGACGCTCCGCAAGGACCCAGACCTATAAGTCCAATCACCTGAGGGGAGCACTCTTTTCAATGGGAGTTTCAGGGGGCTCGCCCTCACACAAAATCTGGAGGAATTATGTTGGTACGTCAGTGTGTCCCTTTTTAACTCATTTGGGCCTGATCCAGGACGTGTGACTGCAGACCTGAGCTAGCTTTCGTTGAGCTAGCTTGTTTACCAGAGCAGCAGTGAGGATGCACCAGCGCAGGCTGCGGCTCGTGCTACACACACAAGTAATCATGTCACGTTCCAACCCTGGGCTGCTGTGACTTCCCTGCTTCGTACCCAAGCTCGCTAGCTTAAAACTACCTTGGGTGGGCCTGGATAACATGCAATCACACACCCCCTAGTCACAGTGTAGACACATCCTTAGCTGAGGGAAATGAGACAAGAAAACGGGCAGATGATGTTAGATTTTTTGAAAATTCTCAGTGCTGCTCGCAAAACAAAGGCGAAGGACACGTGTGGTTAGAACTGGAACATCCGCGGTATTAGTGATTATTCTGTGAATATTACAGTAGTGCCAAAAGTCCCCAGGGAAGATTGGGCCCGATTATGCTGCACACTGTACAAACACAGATAGCAAGCCAGGGCCTGCCTAATATGAAAGGAATGAAGGTTCGATTGCCCAATGATAAGTGCTATTTAACTGCAGAAAGGTAGAGAGACAAAAGGTGTATAAATAAATCAGTAGAGGTCTATAAGGCCTGGGAACATTGTGAAAGCAGCTTCCCTGGCCTCTTTGTGCATACAGCACCTCCTGTCCCTTAATTGACTGTCTAGGTCCCTATTAAATAATGTTGCTGCTATTTGGCTGCCAAAAAATCTTTGCATAGAGCTCAGCCAGAGTCTGGGGGAGAGTGAAGTTGGAGCAAGTGGGTGGTAGGGCTCTCAGTTAGACAGAAACCACTCTAGGCTATGAATCTGCCAATTGCTAACTGCCTTGGGCTTCTATTATCATCAGAGAAGCAGTTAACAAGAGTCTGTGTCATCTTTGTTTTCCCATAGGTTTCCATTCTATTATGAACTGAAAATAGCTTTTGTAGCTTGGTTGCTATCTCCGTACACAAAAGGCTCCAGCCTCCTCTATAGGAAATTTGTACATCCAACACTGTCTTCAAAGGAAAAGGTAATTACAGGTGTTCATGCCCTAACTGAGTAGATGGCTCCTGGCAATGGAATTAGCATGTTTACCATACCTCAGCTGTATCAATGCCTTTCATCTCAAGATGAGTCACTGCTTTTTCTTTTATTTATTTTGGTTCTTTGATCATCACCTCTTTTTTGTGTTTGTTTGTTTGTTTGTTGGGTGTGTGTGTGGGTGGGTGTGGTTTTTTGTTTTTTTGTATCAGCAGCTGGTGAACCCATTCAGAATACCTTAACTCTGTCTGGGCACTGGGGAAGCTAGGAAAGGGGGAGACATGTATATTGTTTTCCCTGAAAATATCACCCCAGCAACAGACCTTCCCAGCATGACAAACTTCACAGGTTTGGAAATGGTTAGTGTAGCTGGGATGACAAGGCCGGTGAGTTAATGTCGCTTATTGGACCAGCTTCTGTTGATGAGGGGGAAAGCTTTTGAGTCACACAGAACTCTTCCTTAGGTCTGGGAAAGGTACTCTGAGTGTCACAGCTATATGGAAGACAGAACAGATTGGTTAGCATAAGTATGGTAAGGGACTACTTAAGGTGGAGTGGCTCCTTAACACCTCTGCAGTCATAGGACAAAAAGGGCGGTTGGGTGAGTGGGTTAGATTGTTGTAATAAACCATAAATCCAATCTGTAACTTGGGCCTAGTCTACAAACTCTCTGAACACGTCATATCCACACTGAAATGTAGCTCCCACCGAGGTAACTTGCCAACTACACCGAATGAATAACTCCACCTCCACAACAGCTTAGCGCTTAAGTCTATGTAGTTAGGTTGATTGCTTACGTTGTCTGCTGCTTTTCGGAAACTATCCCACAATGTCCCGTACTGGCAGTTAAATGGGGGCAAACATTCCCTAGTGAGGATGTGCACCATTGACACCAGGAGTGGACATGTAAAGACCATTCAATTGCTGTGGTGGCTGTACGTCCACGTAATTTAGGGCCACTTAATTTTGTGGTGTAGACGTCCTCCTTCCCCCGCTAACTCCTTAATAATTGCTTATGACTAAGGCTACGATCCAGTCACAGGTGTTTTTAGTAAAAGTCACGGTCAGGTCATGGGCAATAAATGAAAATTCATGGCTTGTGACCTGACCATGATTTGTACTATAAATAACCCTGACTAAATCTTGGGAGGCGGGTTATCACTGCTGGGAGGGGATCCCTGGGGAGCAACCTGGGGAGCAGGGGCTGCTGAAGGGGAGGCAAATCCAGCAGCATCAGCTGCCAACGGCTGCCAAACAGTGTCCACTCCAGCCATCCCTGAGACTGCTGCTTAGGCAGTCCTCGGGGCCAGCCGCACCTGCCATTGCTCAGGCATTCCCTGGGCCAGCTGCCCAAGCAGCAACAGGTGCGGCTGGCTGCGGAGCCACCTGAGCAGCTAGCCCTGGAGTCAACTGCTTGGGCAGCCCTAGGTTCAATTACACTGGTGGCTGCAGAAGTCATGGAGTTTGTGATTCCTCCGACACCTGTGACAAACACAGAGTCCTACTTAGGCTAAACAATCTGTTCCGCTTCGTATTTACCTGTGACACCTAGAGAACCTTTCGAAAGCTTCTCTCTCTCGCCATCAGCAGTTGCCCCAATAAAAGACGTGACCACCTGCCCTGTCTCTCCACTATCCTGAGACCAACACGGCCACAACTACACTGGTTTGTGGGGGTGGGGGGGGGACTGGTTGGGAGTGAGGCTCCTTTGCTCTCTGTTCCAAGCTGTGCTAAAGAATTGCAGTAGGCTCTTGAGACACATCTCCTGTCTCCTGCCTACGTTGCATATTACACTAATGTGTCTAATGTGCTTTGAGAGCTTTGGATGGAAGGTGGTGCGTTCACCAAGAATAGTACTTCTAGAAAGGACGTCACACCTCCCCAGCTCTGGTATTTTGGGCCGTGTGTTGCTCTGCCTGGGGAGCATCTGCTGATGGGACCGGGATGTGGCTGAGCAGTTCCCGGCCATCAAGGGTCCTTTTGAATGTACTGTCTGACCATGGGAGTTGATCATGTGGCATGTCTGCGTCTGAGAGACAAGCAAGAGGATAGTTACTGGTGGGTGCCACGCTAGCAGCTGGAGAGATGGAAAAGCCTCTGCACAGCCATGGAACACGCAGTGCCCATAGGGTGGTAGTGCTCACTGTCCCCTAACTGCAACCCCAACAAGCCTCAGCTGTGTTCTAGGGGGGCCCTTTGTAACATGCAGTGAGGAGTTCAATCCCCAGGTTTGCTCCTTCTTGGGCTCCTCTGCTTAGATGGCCTACAAGTAGGGATGTTAAAGGGTAACCGGTTAACTGAGAAGCATATGCCTTACCAGCATGCTGAGTGGTTAACCGGAGCCTACTCCCCATGGTGGCCCAGCTGGCAGGGCCGCAGCAGTCCTGGAGCAGCCCCCGCTGGCTCTGGTTGTCGCGAGTGGGGGCTGGAGTAGCCCCCATCACTCTCTCAGCCAGCACTTAACCGGTTAAACAAATCATTTTACCAGTTAACTATTCGGGGCGTCTTTTAAATACTTACCTACAAATGAGCTAGGGAAAGGGCTGGAACCACCAAACAGGCCAGCAAATGGCCATCCAAGTGTAACAGCTTCTGGGCTAAATTCAAACCTGTGACCTCACTAGGGAAAGCTCGGTAGCCTGTGACAACCCTGAACGACTCAGGAGTCTGGATGGTTTCGGTAACCATGGTATTGAGTGTAGAAAAGCCCAGAATCCCAGACGCTCCCCTCCTCTGTTCCCCGTGACTGTACGTTTTCTGCCGCAAGCCCGCACTGTTCTCCAGTAACACTTCTCCACTCATAGGATAAAAGCAACTCCCAGAGCGTTTAGTGGAAGCAACTGCTCCCTTGCCATCCTCTTCTCCTTTTCAAGTCCTGGCTGTAAATCTCTCCCCTGCCTGCCTGTCTGAATGATGGCCTGACCCTTGAGGGAGGGGGCAGGAGGTCTGAACTCTTGTGGGATTTTTTTGTTTTGCCTGACAGGAAATTGATGACTGCCTCGTCCAAGCAAAGGATCGGAGCTATGACGCCCTCGTGCACTTTGGGAAGCGGGGACTGAATGTCGCAGCAACGGCAGCCGTGATGGCAGCTTCCAAGGTAACAGCCGGGAGAGCACAGGTCACAGGGCAGTGACATTAGCATCTCAATCCTGTCTGGGTCCATCACCAATGGTAACAACGTAATGGGGGCAGAGAGGAGGAAGTGGGGAAGAGAGTCCAAAATTCTTTCAGTGGTTAAGATCCTGCAGAGGGATTGAGGTTTAATAACTTAATTATGGTCTGGAGAGCACTTGAATGTGACAGACAGTGGATAAGACCAAAATAGCTGTTGCTAAGGGGAATTGTTTCTCCACACCATGTTTAGAAAGAGCCTGACCCCTATTTCAGTCCTCAGCTCTGGGACTCTCTGGCCTTGTCTCTCCTAATCTCTGGAAAGTGCTAGCTAATACATGTTAGTATCCCCATGAAGACAAGGCAGTTAGCCTTTAACAGGTGTTAAACTGCTCCAGCTGAAGCTCAGGGCTGAGGTTGGGTCCCTAGATTCGTATTTTGAAACCAAAATAAAGGCCTGGTTTTCAGAAAGGCTAAGCCCCTGCAGCCCCTGTGGGAAATGTGGCCTTACCAAGTAGCGAAAGCAAAGGTCCATTCCATCTCCTACTTCAGCTGGAATAAATGGTAAGATATCAGGGGCACCATCCTTAGCTGGTAAAAATCAGTGCAGCATCTGTTGTTCTAAGCACATGGCTCTGGGCTCCAAGTTTATTGTGTGCAGGCCCAGTTAAAGAGAGAAATGGACCCAGATCTAAGTACTCTTGAACTTTGAGACATACCCCTTTTCTCTTCCTTTTCTCTGGTGGACTAACAGTGTCCTCTCACAGGCCATGATGCTACCATGCACCGGCTAGCGCATACCTGTCTCTTCCTTAGCTCCTCCACTCATCTGACTGATAAATGGCCTAGATGTTTGAGTAGCTGGACACCATTTAAAAAAAATGAACAATTGTGCTGCCAGGTAAAAATATAAGTCACTGCTAGACAGGTGAGGGGCTCTCAGTACCCCAAACCTCTTGTGCCAATCTCCCCTGCTTCCACCCACTCTCTCTCGCTCTTGTTCTCTCTCAAGATGAGTAGCATGCTTCTGACAATCTCAGTAGAGACAGTCGGACATCTGATGCTGGGTATTAAGCACAGAGTCCCTGTCTTACCACCCTGCATCCCCCATTTGCGGCCCCACAGTCCCTCCCTCAGAACATGGTGATTTCAGGAGGGTAAGAACTAAATGGTAGAATTCGGTAACAAGGAGGCAAATCCTGATGGGTAGCCCCCTTTACTTCCGTTAGTTCAGCCCATTGTCCTTTAAGGGGCACTGTGCTCCGGGGCACTAAAAAGGCATGCGCCAGTCACCAACTCAGACACTTGCTCATACGTTCTCTCTTTCTTGGCCCCCCCTCTGGTTTTTTTCCCTTTTAGTCTGAATGAGGGTGAGACTCCCTGGCAAATGTTTGCATGGCAACTGGCACAATAGGCTCTGTAGGTCTACTGCTATATTAATGATAATGAAGATGATAAAATACCCTTCCTGCACCAGCCACACTGTTTTGGATGTGGAAAGGATGAGGTGGAGCGAGAAGGCATGCGTGACTGGCGCCGATGAAAAGCCTGTTTGTGCCTAATAGGTCTGAGAGATTGTCCAAGAGTCTGTCATGCGTGTGAAAATATGACCTGAAACACTGCCAGAGTTCATGGTAATTCTGGCAGTTTGCTTGAAGTGCCAGTCACACAAATTAAGGAGTTAGAATTTCAGCACACCTCCGCCCCCTGGATCTAAGTAGACTTCAGGGCCTGATCCAAAGCAAATTAGTGTCGGTGGAATGACTCCTATTGACTCCACTGGGTCGTGGATCAGTCTCACATGAAAGATCCTTGCCTGGAATGCCTGTTTGGACCATTTCTTCCTCTCTGGGCAAACGCCGTCCCTCTCATCTCAGGTCCAAGCAGGCTTCCCAAGATGGATACCAGATGCCACAGGAGTGGATGCTGCATTGGCACAGTTTGCTAGTAGGGAGCAGCGGAGCTCTCTCCTTCAAACTGCATGAGAAGCTGAGTCATGCAGTGAGGGGGAATGGTGCATTGGGAGGTGTGCATTTCATAGAATCAGAGAGCTGGAAGAGACCTCAGGAGGTTGTTGAGTCCAGCCCCCTGCCCAAGGAAGTACCAATCCCAACTAAATCAACCCAGCCAGGGCTTTGTCAAGCCGAGACTTAAACACCTCTAGGGATGGAGATTCCACCCCCTCCCTAGGTAACCCATTCCATTGCTTCACCACTCTCCTAGTAAAATAGTTTTTCCTAATATCCAATCTAAACCTCCCCCCCCTGTAACTTGAGACCATTTCATTCTGCCATCTGTCACTACTGAGAACGGCAGAACGAGGAGCAATGGTCTCAAGTTACAGTGAGGAAGGTCAAGGTTGGAAGGTCCTCAAAATGGCTTGCTTTCCAGGAGGTGCCGTTCACCTGTTTGGCCCCTTTAAGTGTCTCAAGTTGGGCCAAACTTGTCAAAATCAATGGTCACTTGAAAAACTGTAGCCTCATTGTAATGGGCCAATCAAGAGGAGAACACACGGGTTTCTGGAAGCATAGCCTCGTGGGCTGCGTATTACTGCATTCCTCGAATAGTCTCACCACCATGACAGTGGAGCACGGTATCTCTTAAACAGCAGCACTCAGCCCTGCTTTGGGTTTCCACAGGCCTTTTTCTGTTGGGTGTGTGTTTGATGTAAATCCAGCCCCAATCTAAGGTGAAGATGACTTATAGGGAATGCACCAGAGGGCAGAGCCAAGCTGCAAATGTGGAGTGGTATGATTAGCAGGGACTGCAGGCATTGATGTCAAGCCCCCCGTTTTGCACAAAGAAAACGGCGGGTTGTAACGAACACTCACACTATCATACTACAGTGCGTAAACCCTCACTGAGGTGGCCCTGATTGAGAAGAATGACACTCCCCACTTTCCCCTCGCACACTAGAGCCTAGAGGGCTCAGGCTAATCGATTTTATGTGTTGCAGCCCCACAGGGGAACAGGAGGGAGGAGACTGGAGTGCCAGCATGGGCTCCCCAATGCTGGGAGAAGCCCTGAGCCTCAGGGGCCAGATCCAGGCAAGTCAGGGGCTGCATCTGGCCCCAGGCTTTAGGTTCCCCATCCCAGACTTCAGTCTTATTAACATGAATAAGAATTCCTGATGTGGATTATAACCGTACGATGGGGTCTGCAGAGCAGTGCAAAGAGTGAAGTGCTGATACTTGGTGCTTTTAATGCAAGCACTTTAAAAGCAGTATGGCTGTTAGCCAAGATGGTCAGGGACATAGCACCATGATCTGGATGTCCTTCAACTACCAGAACCTGGGACTGGAGACAGGGGATGGATCAGTCAAAAAAGGGCTGTTCTCTTCATTCTCCCCAAAGCACCTGGCATTGGCCACTGTCAAAAGACAGGCGACGGGACTAGATGGACCATTGGTCTGACCCAGTGTGGCCATTCTTATGTTCTGATTCATACAACACCTGTGCGTTAGGTGTTATTTTCCCCGTTCTCAATTGGGGAAACGGAGGCAGGGAGAGGTTGAATAACTCATCTGAGCTTACAGATGGACTGCCCTGCCCATCCTCCCTGTTGGCATTCTGGGTAACTGCACCTGTATGTCACCTCTGTGGTCCCTCAATGGCACCCACTCTAAGCTTCTGGCTCCTCAGTCATCACCTTTCTTCAGCAGATCCATCTCCCCTCCTGTCTTTACCAGGATTTTTTCCAGGCTGCTTGGTTCCCTGCCTGCAGTGTGATATCTCAGACTGCCTAAACAGGCCAGCACTTGCCTTTGCTTTCTCTTCAGAAGTTATGAACAGCATGATTACTAGCAGCTGCAAGATACTCCACAGCTCTTTATAAGCAGCCATATTTATTCTTAAGGTGAAAGCATTACAGAGAAAACATTTTAAAGCAATGAAAGAACCTATACATGTGCTAAAGCCACCCTTTTTACTCATGCTTTTATTAATGTTTGAGTCTATATGTGTATGTTCCTCTTCTCAATATGTTTTTAGCAATTGTTATGTCCCTCTGGGGGTCTCGTATTTTAAATTTTTATATGTATTTGTATTGTGTTTAAAATTTTTGTAAGCCACCTCAAATATTTTAAATAGAGAGGTGGGGTAAAATATTTCAATCAATCAATCAATCAATAATGTCCAAGTATAATTAAGCAATGGAATAAATTGACAAGCAGGTTGTGAAATCTATCATTAGACATTTTAAAGAGCAGGTTAGACAAGCACCTATCAGAGATGGTCTAGTGGTCTAGATAATTCTTAGTCCTGCGTTGAATGTAGGGGACTGGACTAGATGACCTCTTGAAGTTCCTTCCAGTCCTACGAGTTTATGATAATAAACTCACCAGACATCACCCCCTGATGCCAACAAAGGCTCTGGTTAGTCCTTCAAAGTCCACAAAGAGGTTCTTCTGTGGTTGCAAGTTGATAACAGCCTTGGCACAGAACCAGAACAACAATTAATAGTTCAGTCGTTTCATTTTTATACAGCTCAAGCCTTTGATCTTGGCCTAACGAACAGGTGATCCATATACAATGGTCCCATCTTCAGGGCATGTTGAAAAATGTGATAATCAAAACTCAAGCAGCCCACGTCAGGACTAGCAAACATTTCCCACTCAAATGAGATTGAGATTGTCATGTAAGGCTGTTCGGCTTACAGCATGTGGATTTAGAGTGCTCAGCTCTAAAATCCTCTCCAGTCTCCTCAGTAAAATATCTTGAGGGTATGTCTACCCAGCAAAGTTATTTTGGAATAATGGCTGTTATTCTGGAATAACTATGCAAACATCTACACAGCAATTCCGTTATTTTGAAATTTCAGAATAGCAGGTGGCTTATTCCAGCTTCTTTAAACCTCATTCTATGAAGAATAATGCCTATTCCGAAATAGCTATTTTGAAATAAGGCGTGTGTAGACTTTCCACTACTGCTATTTCGAAATAGCCCCTCACAGGGCCATTCTAAGTTATTCCTCCGCAGCACCTCCTGGGGCTCTAAATCGAGATAGCATGTCTAGTCCAAGGCAGGCTTCCCTAATGTAATTTTGAGGCTTCCCTGAAGTGTAGACGTGCTATTTTGAAATAAGCTATTTTGGAATAACTATTCTGGAATAGCTTATTCCGAAATAACTGTGCAGTGTAGATGTAGCCTAACTGCCTTATCATTTACTGTACTGTAAACGCTCACAAAAATCTTGACAATGGTTAAGCTGCATGTGTGCTCAGATTACAGCCTGTTGTGGTGACCAATATTGTTTCATGGTTTCCTTGAGACAATCCATCTGCTGTCTCTTGTCTTATATTGAGATTGAGAGCTCTTTGGGACAGGGTCTGTCTTTTTGTGCAGTATTTGTACAGCGCCTAGCACGCTAGGGTCCTGGCCCATGACTTGTGATTGTAGATGCTACTGATATATAAAGAACATTTATTAATAATAATAATAAAATAATAATAATAATAAATAATTAATAATAATTAATAATAATGTGCTACTGGGCATAGTGGAACCACAATTCAGTAGCAAGCACAGCTCCTCATAGTAAATGTCTGTAGGCTTGAACCCATAGTGAACATGCAGATGGGTCTAGTACTCTACATGGGACTGCTTAACCAAACTTGTGGAGAAAGGAGCTTTAACTTTATTCAGCGTAATGCTGCACGTATGGTGGAATGGGTTGGTGTTCACTTGTCGGTCAAGAAACCACCGATGCTAAGGTCCGGTAATTACCGATTGGCCACATGTGATCTTGTCTCCTTCGCTAATAGAAGTCGGTCCATAAAAGATATTACCTCACTCATGTGTGGTCTCTAATGCTCTGGGAACCACACAGCTACAGCAATGCAGCAAACAACTATATGTGCTTGACTTTCTTGTTGACAAAGTAAAGCGTGCGTGTTCCTTTATTTTCCTTCTCATTAGGGTGAGGAATAAAGAACAAGCCTTACTATTCATAAGCTCTCTAGCAAGGTTTATTGCCAAGTCATGTGGAAGGATGCTCGTCACAAAAACAATGGCAGAATATTATATGCCTGTTTTTTCTTGAAAAAGTTATCCCCAAAATTTTGGGGAAGATGCTATGAATTGTCATAGCTCCATTGGCTCCAATGGAGCGATCACAATTTACACAAATTGAGTATCTGGCGTGTTGATTTCCATTTCATTTCCCCTCATTTTACCTTCCCTCTTCAGTCTTCCCTTTTCAGTAGTCGATAAGTAAAATTTCACCATTTCGTTATCAATCTTTGTTGTTTGCTTGCCAGCATTTCTGTCTCAGCTCAATCAGCAAAATGTTGACTACAGCAGAATCAGGACAATTTCAAAATCAAAGAACACATTTTCTTCCACAAACTGAGAAATGTCATTATTGGTCAAATGTGTCAATTTTCATGAATATACATAAACATGTAGTTTCAATCCTTACTTTTGTAAGGCCAATATGCACTTTTGTGCGGCTGTTAAATTTCCTGTAACAATCTGTTTATGTAGAAATGAGGTTTTTTATCCAGCAACATCTAGTAGCAAAATATTTATTAAACAGGAAAAAATTGCTGCAGTAACTGGCTTTATTACACAACAAGACTTATTGTTACATACATTAGAAAAAAACATTTTGACTCATGTCTGGCTCAAAACAGTCCCATGATGAGTCAAGAAGGTTTTATTCTTTCCTCCCAAAGGCCTTGATCCTAAAAATCATTATGCATGTACCTGTCTTTTTACAAGTGAGCAGTCCTAGGGACTTTACTGCATCATATGCATATGTGATTGCACAATCCAGAATATAAATCCCCACACACAATACCTTTTCTTTAGTTTTGAATACAAAAGAATAATACAAAAGACCACAAAGACATTTAGCTTTACAAGTTAGTGACTAAACAGGTAACATGCTAAGTTTCTCTAAATTTTGCAACTATTAACATTGGTAGAACTGAATATCAAAATTCACAACCCCAAGATGCAAATAATGATCAAAATGAATTGATCTTGAAGGATAAGGAATCTTGATGTTACCCCAAAACAAGAAGTCAGGATATGTATTGTTACATACATTATGGACATCTCCATCTGAAATATTTGGAAATGTATTATGACAATTCATTTTAAAATCTGTCACTTTTTAAAAAAGTAAAGGAAGATGAATTGAGAAGCCCAAAGAAAAAATCCTGCATTTGAAGCCAATGAGACTCTCCATAAGAGAAACATTAATTCGTGTGTACAAGTACATTTAAAAAGGCTTCAATATTTGAAACAAATAATAAATAATAATAATAAAATAATAAAATCAGAAATAGGTGAATAACATGTATAGCCCGGTCCGATTCATTGCAATTTAATTACAAATAAATAGTATTTAGATTTTATCACTCCTTTGGTCTAAGCATCTCCAAAGCAGTTTCTAAACATTTATCCCTCACAACATACCTATAAACCAGAAGGATATTAATGTCATTTTAGAGATGGGGAAACCAAGGCACAGAACAGTCAAGTGATTCAGTCAAGATAAAACAAGGAATCTGTTGCACAATAACACCATCCCTCCTCCTTCCCGGGGAGGTTTGAGATAGTTGCTGAAAATCAAGGTTTATAAGGAAAGTGCTTTGAGATTTCCAAATGACATCTTTGCATTGGATGAGGATTAAGATCATACAGCACAGGGTGCTGCTGAGACAGAGGTTAAGAAAGGAGCCAATCCTTGGAAGTCAGTGGCAGTTTGGCCTTCGACTTCACTGAGAGCAGGATTTTTGCACTAAGGCTCCACACAGAAACCAGAGATGTTTACCTAATCAAAGAGAAATTTTTAAGCCATCTAAAATGTCTTTCTGTTGAGCAAGATAAATAAGAAAGAACAAAAGTAAAGTCTCTTTGAAAGTGTATGAGCTAGTCTATGCAGGGGGGAGGGATAGCTCAGTGGTTTGAGCATTGGCCTGCTAAACCTAGGGTTGTGAGTTCAATCCTTGTGGAGGCCATTTGGGGCAAAAATCCATCAGGGATGGTACTTGGTCCTGCTGTGAAGGTAGGGGACTAGACTCAGGCAACCTCTATTATTTTTGTTGTTTTTACTATGTTAGAAAAGCTTTGCTCATACTGCTATTTCAGCATATATCGGTAACATTTTTTTTGCCAATATAGTTAAACTACCTCCTTGAATGATTTAAGCTATATGGACAAAAAGACTATCTTGCTGGTATAGCTGTGTCTACATGGAGGGTTTTGTTATTCAATCTTTTAATTTTTGTACACCTCCTGTCAGCTTAATAACTCCTGCCTTTGTGAGAGGCGGTAACTGTGTTGGCTGGAGAAATTCTCCTGCCAGCATAGTACTTTCTACACTGGTGCTTAGGATGGTATAACTTATGTTGCTAAGGGGAGTGGATCAGTGTTCTCTGTAAGCTGAGCTCTTGGGTGGCCACCCAGGAGAGATACATATGCTGCCTAGCTGATTAGCAGAGCGCCCACAGCCAGCAGTGGGTGTTTCTACTGGTGGTGCATATCCACAGATGCCTGAGTGCACGTAACAAAATGTATTCCACAAGGACGGAAAAAAATTAGAGGGAACATTGGTGTGGATTAGTCATGCCCCTGAGCAATGTAATTATACCAAAGTAAGCTGTAGTTTAGGCAAGGTCTTAGAAGGAGGGGGGCTTAAGATGCTGTGTCATAGACTCTGACTTCTCTGTGTATTGTATTGTTTGTGTAACCAGGGACAAGGGGCTCTGTCTGAGAGACTCAGGAGCTTTAGCATGCAAGATCTCTCAACCATTCGAGGAGACAGCAGCAGCTCTGTACCACCTCCTCCAGTCACTGTACGAACAAGCAGCAAACAGAGCAAGCCCAAAACATCCAGAAGTGTGTCAGAAAGCACTGGCAGCTCAGGTAAGTCTCAGTGTTTTCCTTGGTCTTGTGTTACCGGAAGTTTTTTTCCCTCCATCACTGAACCTCAGGAGGAAATCAGGAATCACTGGTAAAAGACATAGAGATACACAGATATTACAGTTGTTACATACACAGGGTAGTATCACGCCCTTGAAACATAGGGTGCATCTACACAACGGTGTTATTTCGGAATAACAGCAGTTATTCTGAAATAATGTGAGCATCTACACAGCAATTCCGTAATTTCTAAATAAATTCAAAATAACAGACAGCTTATTCCAACTTCTGTAAACCTCATTCCACGAGGAATAACACCTTTTCCGAAATAGCAGGAGTGTGGACGTTCCACTGCTGCTGTTTCGAAATAGCTCCTCCTCAGAGCCAATCAAAGTAATTATTCTCCAGTGCCTCCTGGAGGTAGTACATCCACACTAGGGAAGCCTGCCTCGGACTAATTTTGAGGCTTCCCTGTAGTGTAGATGTGCTATTTTGAAATAAGCTATTTTGGAGTATTTCTTCCTGAATAGCTTAGTTCGAAATAAGTGTTCAGTGTAGATGTACCCAGAGTGCTGAGGCAATTAAAGGAGGGAGCCACATTGCAGCCATTTTGGCTGACATAGAGGGGAAAAGCTTGAGTTTTCTACAGCTTGAACTAATGCAGAGATTCTCCACCTTTCCAGACTACTGTACCCCTTTCAGGAGTCTGATTTGTGTTGCATACCTCAAGTTTCACCTCACTTAAAAACTGTTTGCTTACAAAATCCGACATGAAAATACAAAAGTGTCATAGCACACGAATTACTGAAAAATTGCGTGTTCTCTGATTTTTACCATATACATATAAAATAAATCAGTTGGAATATAAATATTGTACTTACATGTCATTACCCAGGGTGTGTATTTTAGAGTATAGTCTGTCAAGTAGTAATAGCAAGTCACTGTATGAAATTTGTTTGTGATAACTTTGCTAGTGCTTTTCATGTAGCCTGTTGACAAAAGTAGGCAAATATCAAATATCCAGGTGAGCTGATATACCCCCTAGAAGAGCTCTATGTACCCCCAGGGGTACGTGCACCCTTGGTTGAGAGTGACTGTTCTAAGGCTCTGGGTCTGGTGGCTGCAGCGGATTCTCATCTTCTGCAGAGCAGAGCAGGATGCATGAGACACATTAACAACGGTTTACAACCAGACCTATCCTGTACATAGGACGGTTATTTGGATATTGGGAAAAACTATTTCACGAGGAGGGTGGGGAAGCACTGGAATGGGTTTCCTAGGGAGGGGGTGGAATCTCCATCCCTAGAGGTTTTAAGTCTCAGCTTGACAAAGCCCTGGCTGGGTTGATTTAGTTGAGATCAGTCCTGTTTTGGACAGGGAGCTGGACTCAGTGACCTTCTGAGGTCTCCTCCAGCCCTATGATTCTGTGATTCTGTGGTTGCCCTGGGGGATTGTCAGAGGGGTCTGAGGCTGGCAACGGAGATTGGACCTGCCTCTGAACTCACCAGCAGCGGTGGGAGCCGTGGAAAGTGAAGTGACCCAGCAGCCTGCTTCTCTCTGCCACCTCCCAGCCAGGTCGCTCTGCTTCACTGCGGCTTCTGGAAGCACAGGGCCCCAGCCTGCTCCACTCCCCATAAGTGACAGGGGAGCAGAGCGGGCGTGGGCTGGGTAGGTCACTGCTTCCTGCCACCGTGGTAAATAGGCAGGTGCTGGACCCCTGCTGGTGGCATGAGGCCTCACTGGTAGTTCCCCAGGTCGCCTTGCTCAGGGGAGGGGGCTTCAGGAAAGGAGGGCAGTGGGGTTGGGAGAGGGTGAGAAGAGGTTGGGCAGAGCAGGGACAGGACTTGAAGAAAGGGGTGGAGTGGGGGGCAGGAAGAAGCAGGGCCGGGTGGGGCTTGAGGCGGAGTGGGGCGAGTTTGTCCTAGGCCCTGCATGTTCCTAGACATGGCCCTGTTTACAATAGGACATTGGCACAATCTTGCTGCAGGATTATTTTGTCTGTCAGGACAGATGTGCCCATCTGACAGCTCTAATATATCGGTAGAGTCCAGCGATCACTGGATGTGGGTGGGTGAAATTGACACTCAGAGCTCATTTATTGTAAAGAGTGTAGGATAAAATATCCAAAAGTATTGAAGTGACACCAGTACCTATCTGTCCTGCCTATCCTCTTGGATCACCACTGAAATGTACAGTCGATATGACTTGCAACGGTCATATTTTAAGACACTGCACCACAGACAAGGATTATTTATAAATAAAACCCATATCAGTATCCGTGTAGAGTTAGACGCCAAGATTTGAAAGCTATTTACAATGGATGTTCTGTAAGTGTGGGAGAAAGGAGAGAAGCAATTGCCTCTGAAATGTATTTGATTAAATTTAGCTTCCAGGAGGGCTAAGCAGCTGTCGTTCCTACCCTAGTGCAAACAGAGTTTATGCCCACTAAATACAGTCCAAACTGTCCGTGTTCCTGGAGTTTGCCTTCCAAATTAACAGCAAAACAAACATCCATGTCAGTGGTGCCCTCTACCTGACAGAAACATTCACATCTTTTTATATTGGTGTATTAAAGCTAACAGGATGTAGCTGTTCTGACATCAGAGGGAATCAGGGAATGTATTGTTGCATCTATGCACAGTACTTGACAGGGCGACTCAGCTGAAAACCTTTGCATTCCTGTAAAGGGAGTGAATGTTCTAGACATTGACAGTAACAGTTAGATTACAGGGGACAGCCACAAATCTCCAGCACCAAAAGGATGTACAGAAATCCCAGACCATGCTAACATATCGTAACAATGGGGACTTAGTATCTGTAAGTGGGCCTCCTAGTTATTCCAGCCTGGTGTGCAGTACTGGGCCCTGTGTTTGCAAGAGAGGAAATCTAGTTGCTCTGGTAGTAGCCTGGGATTTGAGATACCTGGAGTCAAGTTGCGGCCCTACCATATACTTCCTGCGTGACCTTGGGTAAAACACGTAGGCCCAGAGCCTCAAAGGGATGTAGGTGCCTTGCTCCTAATGGGATATATACCTTTGAGGATAAGGGCCATAGTGTCAGTATGTGTGTCAGAGGGGGAGAAAAACACTTCCCAGAGGTGCTGTGAAGACATTGTTAGATTGCAAGGTGAGCAGACGCTATGTCAAGTATCTCAGCTAAGTTCTTCTAGGCATTTAACTTTGGTTACTGAAATTAATAATATATGCAATTAACTCCCCCCCCCCCACGCAAAAAAAAACAACTTCCCTTTGGGATCAGTTTCTGGTGTTGGAAAGGGTTTCTGGAGGTGTGTTTGTGTTGTTCCTGAACTGCTATTTCTGGTGCTAGTGTAAGCGGGGGAATGGTCCCGCTATTGTGGGGAACTTTCCTGGCTTCTATACAGGACCAGCGAAAGGATCTGAGTCCCCGCTCCCACTTCCTTTACCCCACGGCCTCCCTGATCCTGAGGGCTCCCCCTCCACTCTCCTGAGTAGCAGAGCCCTCGAAACCCCAACAAGGCTGGGCCCAGGTTTCCTGGGGCTTAATCCCCGACCTTGTAGTCACTAGGGGCAGGAGTTAGGGTGTCCCCACTCCGAGGTGCTCTCTTTACACTGCAGGCCTTCTTGGCCCAGTGATCACTTCATAAGGTTCAAAGCAAATACAATTTATTAAACATCAACTGATTAAAGAGAAAAGAATAAGAAAAAATGAGAATGGTTAAATGAGAACACACAGCCCTGCTCTGTAGCACAGGGACATCAAAACAGCAGCCTGCAGAGTGTAAGGACAGTCCACAGTCTCTTCCTTAGAGGCCCTTTAGAGGCCTTGGATGTGCTGCAGGGGGGGCTGCAGGCTGGACACGCTTGCTCTGGCAGTGACCACACAGCCTCAAGCTCTAAGTGGCCAGACCCCTCTCCCAGTCCAGAGCCTTTCCCCACACTTTGCAGGTCCCAGTAGCTCACCACATCCAGCTGCAGGCTGTGCAGCTTGGCCAATTCCAGCTCCTTGTGTGGCTTCTCTGTTCCTTTTGGCTTTCTGAGCACTGCCAGTCTGCTGCTCAACACAGGGTCTGCGCTCCTTGAGCTGTGTGTGTCTGGCTCAGCTCTGCAAAAACTGCCCCTCAGCACACAGCTTGCTTTGCTTGGGCTGTCTCTCAGCTCCCTGTTTTTGCAGGACTTCTTCTGCACACTGCTTGCCCCCCTTGGGCAGTGTCTCAGCTCTCTGTTTGCTCAGAGAGAGCCAGAACAATCCCAGCTCACAGGGAGGACGGGTCCTGGCCTCTTGCTTTTCTCACTGGCCTGTCCAACTTGTCAATCAGACTAAGCTGGAGTGTTGGCTGCTTTCCATTGTCTCTGGGGTCTGTCAGTCTCACGGACCCTTCCCCTGTTGACACTGGGAGCTGGCAAGCCAAAAAACTCCCACAGAGTTTAAGTAAGGGGCTAACAGTCCCCTTACACTAGCAAAAACATTCCGTCTTGTCACAAGCCGGAGAGTCGATGGCCCATCCAAATTCCTGTTTTACACACAGGAGGAAAATTCTCTCTTGAGAAAGCCAGGGGTCAGTGACATGGGATGATCTGCTCACTGCTGTAGCGCCTCCTACACCCTTGCTGTAGCTGCACTGCAGTTTGGAGTTTTCTTGCAACTTCTCAAAAGAAGGATTTGTAGAGCGGACCAGAAGTGTATGACAAATTTGCTCACTCGAGTGTTCCTAAATTTCTGCACATCTACTAACCAGAATGACTTTGGAGTGACTATATGGTGAGTGGCCAAAATATGTCTATTACATGAACTGAGAAAATAGCCCCCCTTGAAAAGATTACCTGTGAGATCAGAATCTGAACCACTGTCCTTTACTCTTCCTGCTGTTTCTTTTTTGGACGGCAGCACGACGAGTTAAGCAGAGCCATAGGAATTGAAAGAGGATCTGATCAAATCTTTCTATCCCATAACGTTTCATCATGCCCCCCTTCACCATAGTAACCTGGCTGCCGTCTGCACAAAATCCCTAGCAGACTTCATGGAGTTTCTGGCTCCTCTCTTTAATACCAATTTGATACTGACATTAACTTGAATAGGCTGACTCCTGATTTGTGCTGGTCTGAAACAAGCATCTGGCCCTCGGTGATTAGATGGCTCGGTAGATCAAACTTTGTTTTTGAAAGGCTATGTTCTTTTAGTGCCAATCTGTCTTTTCTCTATGTATAGGGATCAGTGGGGAGCATTCATTGTAAGGACTATATGGAAACAATTTCTGAGATGTTTTAAAAGACACATGCACTTGCCTGTAGGTGAAGGTCACAGCTTGTGAGTTCCCAGTGTTGGGACTGAAAGGTTCAATAGAATTTCTTAAACCAATTTCATCCCCAGCATCACAGCACTGAAAGAGGGCCAGTCGTGTCCTTGCGAGTTGGTGATGTGACACACTGTCCATGTCTGATTTGCAGTGATAGCAATAACGGTTCTGCTGTAGTGCTCAGAAGCTGGGTGAATGACTAAATCAATGCTTCCCTCCTAATTCCTCTGTAAATCTGTTGAATTGACGAGATCTGTATGGATGAAATTCTACTTTATGGAACTGTGAGATTATTCTCATATAACCTCCATATTCTGTGAGGATTGTGGCTTCTTCTGTCTCATAGGCTTATTCAGTCTTATAGAGGCAGTTAAAGAGGCTGGTCAGAAGGCAGGGCTGTCTAGTGGTCAGAGCACAGTTCTGGGAGCCCAGAACTTCTGTAGATAACCCTCTGTCTACCACTCCTAGCCGTGTGGCCTTCGGTAAAGCATTGAACTACCTGTTGTTAAATGGAGATGGTAACACTTATCCACCTCACAAGACTGATGGGTGATTGTACAGAGCTTGAGAAGAAATGTCAAGTGCTTTCTAAGTGTTATTGTTGGTTCCTAATGTCCAGCTCCTCTTTCAGTGTGCTCCTGTTGTTCCGTGTGCCGAATCCTCAGAGGTGAGTGCTGGATTCCACGCATCCCTTGTAAGCACGGCTGTGTTTTCCTGCCATGTCTTGCTGTTTTTAGTTTTGCTCACTGGGTTTCCTAACAAAGAGGACAAAGGAATTAAGGCTGAGGCAATGAGAATAAGTTTGTAACTGTGAATAATGAGACTCGGGGCTGTGCGATGTGCGTGTCATTGCTAACCGTGCATTGCCATGGGCTGTTCCTTTTCCCTTACTGAACGGCGTCACAGAGGGCATGGAGTGCTCTGACTTCAGCCCTGTGGATATTGGGGGAGGGGGAGTGGGTTCTGCCGCTGTTGCCACCCCAGCAAAGATGCATTCTGTCAACGCAAGACAGGGCTAGCTCTGCTGTGACTAAAGGTGGGTCTACGCCATGGGGGGAGGGAGGGGATTGATCTAAGCTGCGTAACTTTAGCTATGTGACTAGCGTAGCTGAAGTGGACATACTTAGGGGTACTTATTGCAGTGACTTCACTGCGGTGCATTGACGGGAGATGCTCTCCCATCTCCTCCCCTTGCACGTCTGCTTGAGGAGGAGTACCGAGTGAACGAGAGCGCGAAAAGCAGACGGGGCTGATAGACTTGCTGGGCCCATGGGCGAGGTGGGGGAGCCAGATCCACACTCCTGGAAGGGACAAGGCCTCAGGTGGGAAGGAAGGGCTGGGGAAGGCATCCCCCAGTGCCACCTGAAGCGAACTGCACCTTCTCAGGCCCCAGTGCCACCTGGAGCACACTGCACCTTCCCACCCCTCCCCAGCCAGCTCTGAGAACCGTGTGGAGCGCTGGCGGTGATGTAAAAGGCCTTGGCCCAGGCCATGGTTGTTGCAGGAGTGGTGGTGGTAGCTGGGAGCCTGAGCCCTTTTGAATCGCCTAGCTCCAGGGCAACTGCCCCCATTACCGCCCTGCTGGCGGGCATGGCGATCTGCAGCTGCTTTTTTGCATTGATGTTAGATGCAATAAATCAACTCCCACTGGATCGATTGCTGCCCTGTCAATCCATCCTGTAGTAATGACCTGTCCTAAGCAAGAGTAAATTACTAATGTGGTCCCTCCCAGCCTTGTGTTGCACTGGTGCAATGTATGTGCACTAGGAGTTTGCACAGATGCCACCATGTAGATGTGTAACCCACACACCTCGGCTATGTCTGCACTGGCGCAATCTTGAGCCAGAAGTATGCAAATGAGGCTAAGCGTGGACATTTGCATACTTCTGGCGCAAGATCGCACCAGTGTAGACGTAGCCCTAATGTGGTTCCCTGTCCCATATAATGGCATTTAGACCACTTACAGCAGAAAGATAAGAATGAGTGAGCTCTACAGTCTAAGGTGAGAGCCAGCTGGCTTTGTAACTCAAGCCATAATGGCTCCTACACTAAGCTCCCAAGGACCCAGGTTTGAATCTGCCTGGTGGCAGTTACAGATGGATTTACACCAGTACAAATTTCTGTAACATAGGTCTGGTTTACACCTAAAATTTAGGTTGATGTCACTTAGGCCTGTGAAAAATTTCACACCTGTGTTACTTCCTGTCCCATATAATGGCATTTAGACCACTTACAGCAGAAAGATAAGAATGAGTGAGCTCTACAGTCTAAGGTGAGAGCCAGCTGGCTTTGTAACTCAAGCCATAATGGCTCCTACACTAAGCTCCCAAGGACCCAGGTTTGAATCTGCCTGGTGGCAGTTACAGATGGATTTACACCAGTACAAATTTCTGTAACATAGGTCTGGTTTACACCTAAAATTTAGGTTGATGTCACTTAGGCCTGTGAAAAATTTCACACCTGTGTTACTTTAAGCTGACCTAAGTTCTGGTTTAGACACTGATAGGTTGATGGAAGAATTCTTCTTTTAACCTAGCTACCACCTCTGAGGGCATGTCTGCACTACAAATTTTTGCCAACACCACAGTTGCTGTATTCCTTGTGCACATGCAAACTTTTCTTCTTACATTGGTCGCTGTGTGTACTCACCAGGGCTATGTCTACATTGGTGGCTCCTTGCGCAAGAACTTCTTGCACAACGGTTCTTGTGGAAGGAGTTAAGTGCAAGAACACGTCCACACTGCCATGTGAGAGATGTGCTTTTGCGCAAGAGGTTCTTGCACAATAAAATTTTATAGCTAAAATAGCTTTCTTGCACAAGAGAGCATCCACACTTGTGCTTCTTGCTCAAGAGCTACGCTCTTTTCTTACAAATGGAGGCTGTCTTGACAAGAGCTCTTGCGCAAGAGAGCTTACACGTGGGTTGTCTTGACAAGAGCTCTTGCGCAAGAGAGCTTACACGTGTAAGAAAAGAGCATAGCTCTTGCGCAAGAAGCCCTCTCTTACCACGCCATACTATAAATTTCCTTGCGCAAGAGCAGGCAGGCAGTGTGGATGCTCTGTGGATTCTTGCGCAAGAATGGCCGTATTTGCACAAGAAGCCGCGTGTGTAGACATAGGAGTGTTTGTGTCCAAGCACAATGTGGTGCACTGTGGGTAGGTATCCCAGAGTGCATCTTGCCACCGTCTAGCTTGCTGACTTTTGGGAAGTCTTGGCAAAGCATCGCAGGGCAGAAACAAGTTGAACTGGGGTAGCTGGGACTGCAGGTCAAGTTCCCATCGTGCAACTTTCTCCACCCTCTGGTGCTATCTTTATCCCATAATTTTTGCCCCTGTTTTGAAAATACCATGAACCCACATGGGACTTGTGGCTGTCTGCCATCTCTAACAGAAGCATGGCGCCTGCATAGCTTTGCCGTTATGAACGATACAAGTACAGAATGCGCCGTCTTCCAGTATTTGCTGAGGCTGAAGAAGTGCAACACAGAATGTAATGATTTCCTAGAGATCAGACTGCTGTGGGATGTGAGGACGAGAACCAATTCAAGGCTGGCAGTCATGGGGCAGCTGGAAAGGGCAGCATGACACTTCTGGGCCTGAGAAAGTGTGGGGGTCGCATTTGAATGCAGGCTTGGGGTGACTGCAGAACTTAGGGATGTGCAAGGCCTGGATATGAGTGCCAAGCTCTCCCACCAGCAGAGGGACACCAGAAAGAGAGCTACACCGACAGTGGAATAGCGGGTAGAGATCGTCCTGTGGAAACTTGCAACACTGGATTGCTGCCAGTGGGAAATCAGTTTGGAGTTGGCAAGTGCACTCTGGGGGCTGTTGTCATGCAAATATGCAGGGGCATTAATGGTCTCTTGCGAGGCAGGACTGTGGCTGTAGGCAATGTGCGGGGTACGATGAACGAATTTGAGGCTGTGGGGTTCCTGAGCTGCCGTGCAGTGACAGAGCATGCATAGCCTTGCTTTGGCACCACACCACCTTGCCACAGAGTAAGTCAGCAGAAAGGGAAACTTTTATGTGGTTTGTGGTTATGGTGGCTCACCAGAGAGGTTTCCCCAAGATCAGTGTCGGCTGGTCAGGAAGGGTACATAATGCTCAGTAGGGATGTGAGATATCGTTTCATTTCATAATCATGTAACCCCACCAAATGTTAGCGGTTACACGACTATTCAATAGTCCCCAGAAGCGGGGCCGGCAGCCAGTGTGCTCCCAGCCCCACTCCTGGAGAGCTTCCTGCAACTGCACAGCAGACCCAAACTCCCCGCGGACGGAGGCTGCTTCATGGCAGCAGCCCCTGTCCACTGGGGGCCCACACTCCTCACAGACAGGGGCTTCTCCAGCATCCCATCTGCCCTCCCATGCTGTTGCAGCAGCTTGGGGGGGCGGGGAGGAGAGGGCGGCTCCACAGAGCAGGTGCTCATGGAGAGCTGGTTTTTAAAGCCGGCCCCCCCAAGCACCGGCTCCCCCCCGCCCCCCCC